TATATGAAGTGTTTTAGAACACATAAGACTTTCCTACAGTTCCCCTCTAATGAACTACCCTGCGTGCGGTTCTGCAGCAAAATAACTGGAATTCAAGTAAATTATCTTACGTAAACGTGTAATAAGATCGTATGATATCTACTCCAAAAAAACTAAATAAATGTAACAGTAATAATAATAATAATAATAATAATGATAATATACCTTTTATGTTCGATTTGAAGAAATTAATTAATAAAAATTGGGTTTAATAGGGGCATTAATAAATAAAACTAGGAGGTTCTATTCGAAGGCATGAAAAATTTATAAATGAAGAGTTATTGTTTGTGTATAATATGTAAGAATTAATTAAATATCATATAAGAGAATCAGAGTTATTGTATCTCGGGCCGCTGGTCGTCGTTTTCTCTCCTACTATAATTAGCAAAAGTTTGCCGTGCGCAATAAAGGTAGAGGCGTCTAATTTTTACGTAATACAGTATGTACTGGCAAACTGGACATAGTACATAGTGTGTATGAAAAACAACAGCTAACTGGAGAGAAATGCTTATTACTTACTCTCCTTTACAACTTACAAGCACGAATGTAAGACGGTACGCGTTGCACATAATGCGTGAATCATGAAAGTTGAGTGTCCGAGTAGAGAATATCTACATGAATATATTGCACATATAAATCGCCAACCGACTAGCTTCAGTGCTCTTCTATATCTCTCAGCCTCTCTCTTCCTGCATCGTGTATTTACCGAGTACAAGAGAATCTTTTCCGTATTATATATGTTATAAATTCTCTTAACAAACTTTCGATTATTGCTGAAAGATACCGTTCCGTTTTGTTATTATTTATATTAATGCAGGCATCTACTAAACTCATTATCTTTACAAGTTATCGTATTTATTATTTCTTTTTCCTTCTGATTTCTTGGAATTATTTAATTATATTATATTTTAGTGACTTTATGATTTTAAAATTAAGAATTGAAATTTTTTTAATTCGAAATTAGAAAAAAAATTTTATATAAACAGTTCATGCCGAAAATTTGACTGGGTCAAAAATATTTTCAATGACCGTTACTGAGAATTACATAAAAACACAACAAAAATTTCTGATATGGTCAATTTTTATAGATGGCTATATATGATCAGATATTTTGCCGTATGTTTTGTTATTTGGTTTATGTATTATGGCCATATCAAGCTTTATATAAGAATGAAAAAATTAATTGTTAAGTTTTAATTTTTATATCTTTGAAAAATCTGTAAGTCAATTAACATGTTTTATAAAACGAAAATTAGCTTGTTGATTAATTTAAACTAAAAATTAATGTTAGATAAGTACCTTGAGAAAGTCAAAAAATGATTTTTATTTCATAACTTAACTCCTCAAAATTAACTCTCTTGTAAGGAGACAATTTAGCGACAATGCGCTCTCTGTTGGAGATTCTAAACACTATATTTGGTCAACAAATTATCGATGGGTGCATAAATATGATCAAATCTGGTCATATGGACAGAAAAGTTATGTATTGACGTATCAGATTATATCAGGCCATATCAGTAAATTTCTCCACGGAATTAGCCGATTCTATCTTTATATCCTTGTGTTGTATAAGTTTTATAATTCTTAAAAACGGTGTAAATAAGCACCTAAAAAATATGTAATGTGTGATGGAGAAAGAACAATGAGTAAAAGTTAAGAATGTAGCGAGTAAAATTAAATTGATGAAAAAAAATTCACTGTGATAAAATATTAATAACCATTGAATAAGAGTTGATAAATGATAACTTTTATTGTAACTACACATAAGTTTGATGTAAAGTTTACACTCATCAAAAAGTTGAAGCTGTATCAATAAAATTCAGATGTATGTACACAGATCTTTTGATATTACGTATAATATCGATTTGAATAATAATAAATCAGATGTGTGTTTCCAGATCTATATTTAACTCTCAGTTGATAAAACATCCGGTTTTATCATATTAAAATATTCACTAGCCAATGATAATGATAAGATACATCTTCATTAACGTACTTTCATCATCCACAATGCATACATTGTGCACCACTCAAAACGCAGGGCATTTAGAAATCCACATCATATTTAAACTCTTGCTATAAATTTGTCGGTCGATAAATATGTTTCATTGCACAAAAATTCATTGGGCAGTTTAATAAACTTAGATCCACGTCAGATAAGCTCCTGAGAAAAATATAAAAATTATTTTCATTTCAGAACTTAACACCTCAAGTTTAACTTTCTTGTGATGAGAAGATTAGGTGATTATGCGCTCTTCATCCGAAATTTTCAACATTAATTTGGGTCGAAAAATTATATAGGGTAGAAGTACCGCTTTTGGCCACCTTAGCACCGTTTTTGGCCAGTTAACATTTGAATTAATTTATAAAAAATTATAATATTATAACCATATTTTTGTTGAGTTTTAAGAAATTTATATTAAAACAAATTGAGTTTGTAATGGTTTATTAATATAAATTCATTTCTATCGTTTATTTGAACAATAAATGGCCACAAACGGTACTTCTACCCTATAGGGTATATGACCAAATCCGGCCTGATTGGACATATCAAACTTTTTGATGTGGTCATATATGGATAAATCGGAAAATTTTTTACGGATGATCAAAAATGTTACTTTATATAATATAGTACATGATTACCATCACTATTACTATTCCTAATTATTAAACAAAATTTCACACAAAAAAACTAATATGAACATTTCAGGCGTGAATTTTGAGATTATTTAACTTTTTCGAGGTGCAATTAAAACAATAACTTGATGAAGGAACAATCAGGAATAATTCAGTGACACAATAAAACTACCGTAAAATAAAAACGCCCTGGGTGTTATATGAATAAAAGTCCAAAGAAAACGTCTACTCATTGTATCGAAAGATAAAATGGTGTAATATGACAAAGATTACGAGAGATATGTGAGCCTACTTCAACGAGACATATTAAAGGAACATGCGTGCTATGACCTTTCTTTGCTCTTGTTTGTTTATTTATTGCATTTTTTTATTATGTCTTGTATATGTTTTTTTTTACAAGCTTCTACATGTAACAACTAAACACACTACCTGATGTTCTTTGGTGGTTATTCGATCGGCAAGATAACTTCTTGTAGTCGTATCGTGTTTTTTATTTCTCTTCGCCGTCCTCCGAAGAAATAAAACAAACATTAATCTACATCCATGTGATGCTGATAAAAAAAGCTGACATTGTTATTTCTTTTTTTAGCAATTTATTTTTTCATCTGTCAAAAGTCGAATAAAAGTTTTCTCCTTCTTCAGCTGGTTTTTTAATTTCATTCATATCACACTACACTTATATGTGATGAAAGGGCCATAAATATCTGCCACATGTTGATTGTATTTTTTTGGGCTTAAAAAGAGGTTATATAACTAAGACTATGTAATGTATGTGCATAGATAAAAATATTCATGTATATATTTAACAGTAACTATCTTTTCAGAATTGTTGTGTGTAGCATACACGTTTACTTTATAGGTCTAACATACATCTGTGTCTATGTTTTCACCATGAAATTGAGCTTTCAATTCGATAGCATTAATGGAAAAATGATCATAAGTTAGTTCGAAATAGTTGTGACTATTTTTTATCACAACTTTTATCTTATAAAATTTATCACTTTGGAAAATGAATAAAAGAGTTTGTATGAAGCGTTATAGATTAAATTTTAAAGAAGGTGGTGTTTGGGCTCATAAAATTATTCGTTTATACGATTCGTAAGAATTAATTCTTGAAAATTTAACCATAACTCTAATATATCTTAGGGAGGGATCTTTGAAGGAGGAGACTACCGTACGGACACAACTCAAATTATAGTATCAATAATTAATGTATTTAAGCATATCTAGAGCTTGACAAGTATAAAACATCATCAACAGAATTTGTAGGTGAATCAATAGTGTTTTGTCGACCCGTCTTACTGATGACTGAGGGTTAATTTTTCTTCGTATTTGCGCTGAGAGTTTTTATTTTTCTCCTACTAAATAGACCCATGGGTTGTACAAACAGAAAAAAAAGTTAAATTAAATAAAAAAAATTTGTTCTTGGACTGCATAAGCTCTTATTTAATTCAGTAAATTTTTTTTTGTAAATTAGTAGTTAGTAGTATTATTATTATAGAACTTAAATTAAGCTTTTTTGTTATGCAATTTATCTCAAATTAAGCTAAAAACAGTTTCAGTCAAAATTACAGCCCGAGTCGAAAAATAACTACGGTTTTAGGTCTCAAATGTGAGTTTTAGTCTCATTCATGTCTCAAATAGTCATTATTTTTCGGAAAAGTCTCAAGTAGACCTCAAACGCTTCGGTCTATGAGTAAAGTCTCATTTCGGTCTCAATCCAAATATTTTGAAGTGAGAAGTAAATGAGATATATAATGTGGAACTTAGACATATTTCCACATTTATACACTTAGAAAAATTTTCTCTTTTGATAGAAGGTATAATTTGGAACTTAGAAATATTTTTATCTTTTTAGACTTGAAAGAATTCTCTGTTTTAATAAAATTTTCGGATTTGTACAAAATTTCTAGAAATTACAATCGAATAAATATGAAATCTTAAAAAAAATATTTACAAAAATAACAATTGGTTTAGTTATATTTTTTGAAAACATTTATTGATTAATACATTAATAAGTACAAAATTTAATTTAAAAAATATGCATAATGAGTTAGAAACGTTTGTATATATAACTCATATAAATATATTTGTTTATATAAATTTGTTTATGTAAATAATAAATTTTTATAAGCAATAAACACAATGTTTAAATATTGGAAAAATTTTTTTCGAAACCCGTATACTTAAAAATTTTGTACCCTTGAAAAAAACTAAAATACAAAGAAAGCCTTTCAACTTTTACGACTCTAATACTTTAAAGAACTATAAAAATTTTATTTGTCTACACTAATTTCAAAAAAAATTTGGCCATATGTCTGGCTATGAACAACATGTATACATCTACAACAATGTATACATACCAAGTAAAATCGAGCATAGTTAAACAATCTCAAGAATATCCCGGTTAGTACTTCTTAGGCTTTCATATTGAGCACTTCTCATATTCTATATAGTGAAAAGTTCAAATAAACTAATTGTGATCAGTTTGTTATTTTTAACTTTATTGTTGATTTTCTGACTAAAGTGAAAAATTTTTGTAAAAATGTCTGAAATATATGCTTTTATTTTTTGAACTAAGAATCAAAACACTTACAGACAATTAAAATTTCATACATACCTGTCCATTCACGATATGAAAACGCTAGTGTAAAATTAAAGTGGAAAAATGAACGATCAAAATTATTTGAAGTGTTAGATTCTAAAATTTTGAAAATAAGTGGTAAGTAACTACATAAATGTAAATTTGGACGGTACAAAACCAAACTATTTTTGAATTAAGAAAAATTATAATAATGTTATTCCAGAAGATAAAGATCTGCCGGACAATATTTCTGTTGGTGAAAATACTGGTCGAAATCCTGGATGTAACAACAAAAGCGTTTTTAGGAACTGTTTTAGCGCAACGGACCATTTTTCAATATGTAATAGATACTTATATAGAATTTTACAAAATTCAGTAATGTACTTAATCAGTTATTAAATTAAATTAATTTGTATTCATTCTAGTATGTATTGGTATTGATTTATTATTAATAAATAAAATTTTTTTTCAATTGAATTAAACTCGAACTTTTCATTTTATAAATGTAAATCTAATTTAAATAAAATAAAACTATGTATATACAATATAATATATAAAATAAATAAAATATA